GCACAAGTAGGTCTTGGAACCTGGACCGTCGAGCGGGTGACAGTGATCACAAAACAAGGTCCTTAAGAAAAAAGGATTTCAGGATAACCTCAACACAGGAAAAAAAAGAATATTTACAAGCAAATACAGGATTCCGCAACAAAACACAGGTTTTATAAGACCACAATTTGATGATTCTCCTAAAATACCTCCAATTTACCGAACAATGTAGGCAAAGGTGGACATAGGAAAAGATAATGTCACACAAGTCATCAGGAACATATACTTGCACCAGCAAGGGAAATGGGCGGGGCGGGATTTTATAAACCTGAGCCTGAGACTTCTTGAAGGACTGGGACGGCTCGATTTTGAGAGCGACCTGCAAAAACAATGATCAACGCCAAGCATTCAACCGCAATGGGCCAAAAGAACCGAACAGCCGCGAAAACAATTGAAATTCCAGCTGCAGCATCACGAGAGTCCCTGTAACAACTCTCCATGCCGTACTTTCCTAAAGATGTGCAGCAAGGACAGGGAGCAAAACTAGATAAGGTCAGCAAGGAAACCAGTTTTAAGTGCATACGAATCTGAGAAATGTTCAATCGTTCAATCCATTAAATTGAAATGGTAGCATGACTGCTGGCCAACCGTGCATCCAAAAATCCGAATAGCTTGGGGTGTTCAGCAACTGTGGGATGGTGCACTGCCAAAGCCAAGATGATCAACACGCATGTTTGCATTCAGGGCAGATATAAACACAGTTGCAACTCATGAAATTCTCAGTGCACCAGAGGCAGCTGGCCTAGCTTTCAGTCTGGCCAGCATCCTGCAAACAAACATGGGAAGCAACGTCTGAAAGCATGAAACTTAGGCAGGAAAATGTCAAATGTCTGAACTTATGTAACGTAAAAACATATGGTATAGATGATGAAAAAGACACCTGCACTTATGTTGACACGACTTTGAGAATGATAGTGAACATATAGAATACCACATGTCTTTTACTATGATTCCCATGCTCTGAGCAAGACAAAAATGAAACGGTAAAATATAAAACACTAGAACTTCCACTGACACAACTCTTTGCACCCAAGTCAGCCCAGCTGAAGCGCCTGGTCGCAGGAAGGAGATTCAGGCTTACACCAGCAATAGCTGGGTAGAATCGTCACTCAAACACCTGTCATCTACACGCTAGTCAATTTATGGCTTGTAATCCATATTGCCTTATATGTGAGAACAGAAAATTATAATAGGGAGGAACTTCCCCGGGAAATGAGCTCAGAGACTGTTCTTTTCCAAGGATATCCATAGAACCTCAGCACAGGATTCCATAATATGTTTGCACCTTGAAATTGCAATTCTTCGTTTAGGATTTCATAAAACTGAGACCGGTCTGTTCGTGATGTTCATATTATAGTGTTCCTGCCTGACCTGCAGAAGGATAGGATCTTTCGCTCCGTACAGAGGAGCAATCGATCTTCACTTGGCGCCTTTCGACGCCTCGATCGATCCGAACTGAAGAGGGTGAAACCGCTGAGACGAAGCTCAGCATGTGACGGACAAAGCCATATATGCATGCATATTATATATTTTGGTTGGAGTCAACTTGAGTCAACTCCTCGAATTCCAGGTTTACTCTTTGGGGAAATCAATGTGATACATTTCGCTGCCCCCCCCAGGCCTACGGCACGCTGACGCGGCCGGCGGATGCGATCATCCTCGGGGGCGGATTGGCTGGAATGAGTGCGGCGATGGCCTTGCTGGACCGCAGAGGTGCTGTGGTCATGGTGGAGAAGTGCGACGCTCAGAGAGGACGAAGCGTCGCGACGCCGCGTCGCGCGATCCGCGTCGGTGTCGCATGGCGGCGTGTTCCGGCGGCATCGGTGTTCCGGCGGCAGTGTTCCGGCAGACTTCGGAGTGGTGCAGCGGTTCGGTGGAGATTTGCTTGTGTTCCGGTGTTCCAGTCTTTTGTCATTAAAAGTGGTTCAGGGCCATTGAGGACTTCCATGGCAAAAACCATCCAGGGCCACTCCAGGGCACTTCATACGTTCCCGCAGCCCGGAGCCCGGTTCATCTTTAGGGACGTGCGACGCCGCGCTGGTGGACCGTTTTCCTCACCAGCCGGGGCTGTTCGGTGCGCGCAACCTCGTGGAGTCTTCTTCCTTGGACGGAAAGGCGGAAAAAGAGCCCATGGTTTGCTCCCGGAAATCGATGGCCTGACCTACGGCCAAGTGGGTTCACAGTTGTTTGGCATATGATATTGGCGTATTGTGCGTGGCATCGACCCCTGTATTCTTCTTAAGGTCTGACTGGACATCATTTGGTTTAATATGTTACTAGTCTAGGGTCCTTGCTACGTTCGTAGCGATGCACCTTGTTACTGTAGCTTCTTGCTACGTTCGTGGCGATGCACCTGTTCCTCATATGTCCTAATAGCCATGCACTTGTCAATTTCCCCTCCCCTTTTCGAAGGCCGTCACCCCACAGATGCACTGAGGCAACCTTACCTTGGCGGAAACTCCGGGAAGGCCTCGTCAGGCGATGACCGGCGATGAAACGCGAAGCCGAAAAAAGCGGGTTACTCTGAGTGACTCAGACGGATGTGTTTCACCAATTGGTCGATTACTTGGAATTCTGGCGAAGCTGGGGTGGGGTCTATGCTGGTCTACGAAGTAAGCTTTGAAAAGGGCCGATACTTGGGCATGGCTTCAGTCCACGGGACCTTCGACAAAGCAGAGTTAGGTTCTCCCTCTCCGACGTCTCTTCTTTCTTTTGTGGATCATGACGAAAACCAACGCCCAATCCAAGCCGTAGCTGCTAACCATGCCCCATTCAAAGAATCGTTGTCAGAAAACAGAAAGCCAATGAGCAGGGCCCAACAAGGTCGCGAGGCCCATCAAACTGCCTAACAACTGGGGCTTAGGCTCATACCTTTTCTCATCTCCCTTACCTCATCCTGATCCGCCACCAGCTCCAACCACCAGACCCCACGCAGGCTGCCGTCTCACCGCACTGGGCTTTCTCAACACCTGGGGACCTGCACCGCGAACCCCGAACCCCGCGTCGTGCCCCGACCTGCACCGCGACGCCGGACACTAGGCATCAACGCCGCCCTCGAAACCTCCGTGGAGTCGTTGGTGGCGGACACCACCAAGAGCGCGGGCACGTGACCTGGGTGCCAAATTGCGGAGGGGAGGTCGGTTCTGCCCAAAACGGAAGGTGAGTCAAGCCGCGCCCGCCTTCCGACCAAAAAGGGTGTTGATCGTGTTTAAAGAGTGTTGACCTGGTTTAAAGGGTGTTTACCTGGTTTTGTAGTGTCAAATGCTCAATCAAACACACAAAATCAAGGTTGTTGGAATCATACTAGTAGGGTGAATGCACCCAAACTGGACGGTCAAGAAGTATATTTTGTAAATTTGGTCATATAGACTAGATTCGCACCCGAAGGTTCAATCTTAATTTGGAAGATGAACAGAATGACGCTACTTGTAAGGCTCATGACCTATTGGGGAAGCCCACAAAGTAGCGTTTTTCAAGAGAAGAACACGGATCGATTGCCCCAAATGAGGGTCGCACAACGTTGCAGCCAGAGTACTATCGAAGCAGAGTACTACGCTATCGAATTCAGAACAATGGTACCACCCCAAGAATCCTTGGGCCCTCCATGGCAGGGGTCAGACCCTCCATAGCAGGGGTCCGGACCCTCAAAACCTATGTGTATTTTAGTGCCGGGGTTCTTAGGGCAGTTCAATACCAGTGCAAATGCCCCAATCGAAAACCACTACACAAACGACCCCACTAGATGCATTCTCACACACGCGGTGGTTGTTTTGCACCGCGGAAGCTTCGGCCTAGGTTGGCACGGCCTGAACTCATCAAGCGCTTGGCCGAAGATTCGGCTGAGGCAGTGGCCTGGCTGAGGCGCGGATAGACTCAAGCCATGGTCTGGGGTGAGGTTTCAAACGCAGACAGAGGACCACTGATAGACACATGCTATTTTGTTTTTGGTGGGGCGGGGCGCATAACAGACAGTGGTTTTAGGAACGCAGTGGAATGTTCATTGGAGAGGTGTGCACATTCTTGAGTCTCAAACCCACGGACACCCACCACATGGTAACATGTGGTAGGGGTTGTTGCTCGTGGTTGCTCCTCATCAGGGTAGTATACTATTGCGGTTTCCACGTGAGCATAAAACAAACATGTGTTTTCTTGAAACATTACATAAAAGATGCGCCAAGTCGTCTACTAGTCAGTCTAGTCTTCTGCAGAGTCGTAGTCGTAGACTTCTTGCTGCGTTTCCATGTGGGTTAGTTGCAAACTTGCAACAAGAACTTTGCATAAACACATTATGCTTTGGAGTATCAGTTCAACATCAACATGAAACATAGATCGATAAGATACTTTCAGATACTGTTTGCTGGCTTGCATCAAGAACTATTGCCGCAACCAGAATATGCTGAGACGATGGTTCCCCTAAAGAACTTACATGGCTCCTCCCACACCTTGTATGGCGAGATCAAAGAGAAAACACCCAGCCAGTCTAAAATAACCTTGATGTACAACAGTTTTCGATTGCATACTTCCTTTCCATGGCGTTGAAACATAAAACGTACTTTTCGCAAGCGGGTGACTTGATGTCAGCCCAGGTGACTTAATCCCAGAACTTATACGTACTCAAGCGCTGAAGGGCCAATGTTCCAGTGGCATACCGGCTAACGAAACAGGGTTGTGTTCTACCGCCAGGTTATTCACCACGACGTATCAACTAGGTTTTTGCTAACTCTTGTACTACTTCTTGTTAGAGGTTGCTCACAGCTGGGTAGGGTTTTCTTGGCTGTTCATCCTCACATACCACTCGAAGTAAGGAAGAAGAAGCTGACTTGGACTCAATATGGAAACCCGCTTGCCACTTGCTATACCTTCGGATTCCATTGGCCCAGTCACACTCTCTCACAGAGACTTGCTATACCTGCGGCATCTCACGAGATCGCGTCTCTCGCCCAGAAAATCTCTCTCGCTAGGGACCGGACCAGTGTGGATCTCTCCTTGCGATCTCAGCTGGGTGGTCATTCAGTGAAGCGCACCTTGAGGCACCACCCGCCGATACGCTGACGACGCGACGCGACGACGGGTCGACCACCGGGATGGAGGTCGCGATGGTATAGCGCCGCTACCGCACCGGGTTGTGACAGCACCGGGTTGGAGGTGTTTGGAATGCCCTTTGCTTGGTTCGTAGCTTCTTGTTACTAGTACTCGTAGTAAGGCCAGGAGCCCCGTTCGTAGCATCCTCCTGGTAGCGATGCCAGGAGCCCTAGTAGCACCCCTTGAGGTTCTTTTTGGAATGGTGTGGGTGTGCAGCATTGGATCTCTAGTCGGAGCCTGGCACTCTTGACATCTATATATACGTTTAACTCAAATGCCATTCAGGCACTGTGGATGTTTGGATGTGTATGGCCATGAGCGAAAAAGGAACAAAAAACATGGCCTGATTCCGGATCACCCAACCAGAGAGGGTTGGACTGCACTAGCCCCAAAAGCGAGTGAAGTCCAAAACAGGATGTGGGTAGACTGCATGGATCTCTATAGAATGGGCACCCTTGACATCTACCAAATGCCATTCAGGCACCCATTCTAAGAATCAGAGGTTGCTTCTATAGAATGTGAACGTTTCGTAAACCCTCCAACACTCACCGGGTCTATTTCGTTGAAACCGCGGCTGGGGGGAACCCAACTGAGGGCGTTTGGGATTCGGACGACGAACCCGAAAACCACTGGGTTGGTATTCGGAAAATGGTCCAAATCATGGCTCAAGTCTCGGGTACTTTGCGCCAGGTTCCAAATCGGGAGACCGAAGATGGGCGTGGCAACGACCGGATTTGGTTCGGGAAAGACGTACTCTACTCAGCCAGGACTGGATTTTAAACTGCACATCCATGTCTTTGCGGTATGGGGAGTGGCTATCGACAGATGTCGTGAAATCCTACCCATCCTCGAAATCCTTCAAAAATGACTACTCGCGATCGGAGTGTCAAGGAGGGGGGGTTCTCCGCGTACTCAGTGCTATCCCCATGCATCCACATACCTTCTGAGAAGGTGAGCGCCAGGAGGGAAGGTATGCAATCCAATTGGATCCAATTCAGGATCCAATCACAATCCACGTTCTATGTTGTTCCAATCTGGTCTACCTTTTGTTGTACCTGTCAGGCCATCCAATGCCTTCGTGGGGGCTGAGATCACCTTTGCTGCTGGCCAGGCGTGGCGCTGGTGTGTGTTGCGCTGCGGATAGGGGGATTAACACGGGTGTGATTTCTCCCTTGTAGTGGCCGAAGTCTGTAGACTGAGTTCAGTTATGTCAGTTAAGTCCAAATGACTCTCAAATGTGACGTGTGCGTTTCACATGGCAAACTCATGGCCCCAGATGCCTCCTCCATCACCGCTCGCTCCTCGATCAGCCAATCCACCATCCATGATCCACCTTCGGAGTTCCAAAGTAGCCAATTAGAACCATCTAAAACCACCTCTCCCTAGTGATCCAGTTGTACCTTCTCAGATTCGGTACGACTGGACACTCCTGGCAGCTACAGTCTCCAGTGTCGAACTCATCACCGTACCTGAAAAGGTACGAAAACGGATCCCTAGGGTCTTAAGGGTTTTTGGTAAATGAGTCAATTTTTGAGCTCAGATTCAGTTCGGACCTTGGAGGTGCACATTTGATAACACATTTGCCTCAAACAGCAAAATTCACCTGTCAAGATGCACGGTCATTGAGACAAATCGAGTTCCATCAAGGGGACCGTTCAAACGTCTCCCCAAGCTCCCCCCCCAAAAGAAATCATGGCAAGACTTGTTATTTGTTCATAGGAGCTGTCCCAGTAGCTATCCTCACCCTACCCAGTCAGTGGATGTCAGTGGATAACCTTCAACCTTTTTGGGGATTGGTTTACCCACCAAGTATGAACTGATGGAGAAAGGTTAACCGGTTTTTTTTCCCAGAAACACTGAGGGAATCAGCTACCATGTGGCACCAACCCCCCCCAAAACTCAACAACATACCGTACCCGAGGGCTCCAAGTACCTTCTGAGAGGGTGTTTGGGGTGGGTGCCAGGAGGGTCCAGATACCTTCTGAGGAGGTGCTTGGAGCCCTAGGGGTATTGACAGCCGGTCCATCTGGGACAGGTCCTCACCAAGATTGCTGAGCAGAGCGATCGCTTCCGCTTGCTGCTGAAGTCCAAGTGGACCGGCCTCACCAGGTGTGAAAGCAGTGCCGAAATGGGCGGTGGAAACGGTGGGTTCACCGACCAGCGAACGCGCGACAGGGTTTGTTTGCAGGTGCGATGTTTGTTGAGCCCAGCCTGTGTTCAGTGCCTTTTGCGGGAAAAAAGACCAGACCCCTGGCCCCACATAATCCGCAGATCTGCTATGGGAGGTCCATGCAGTCCTCCCTGCGGCATCTTGCTGGTCCACTCATGAGACTTGCGCAATCGTGGTGAGGTAGAAGATAAGCAGGTAGAAGATCCCTCTCCACTTCACCTATCGGGGCCAAGTCGATCGATTCGGTAGGGGCTTTGTCTTTGCCAAATTTTCATCGCTATGGACAAATCAACCTTGGTATGCGGGGGTCAGTACCAAATACCAAGTCCGTCTCGTGAAATCACTGGCCCATTTGCCATCCGCCTGCGACCCAGACACAAATCGACCAGACACGACCTGGGACTGGTTTGTTTTGACCCGACCCCCAAAGCCAACCACCCCAATGTATATGGTATTTTATTCATAATATGCCAGTCCCACGGAGTGTTTGAGAGATGAGAATAGCATTGCCAACTGTGGAAACAGCCTCTTCGACCTGGCGTAGGCCGAAGGACCTTTGGCAAGTGGAAATCGAGGTCAACGGCTCGAGCAAGGCGCCGTTCGGCGGATTTTGTGCAGTTTAGGGCGGTCAGAGCAGCGGTTGTGGTGATTGACCTGGATCTTCCCGTTTGCCTTCTGGCTTTGTTTTTCCAATGAACAAGGCAGACTCGTGGCTTAATTAGTTGGAAGATCCAGGTATGAGCGACACAAGACCTCAAATGGATGGTGACCAGTGTGCAACTTCACCCCAGTATGAATCATGGGAGGTTCTATCCAGGTGAATCGGAAAAAGCATCCCTCTGTGAGACACTCTGCCGGTCCACCAGTCGGTCTCCCGTGGGCTCACTGTGATGAGTGTGGCATGCGTCGCATGCGGTGAGCTGTGGCACTGTGGCACCACTGCATAAGGTTGTATGATGCGTGATTTTAAGGCACCAAAGAAATCTCGATCAATAACAACAAGAACAATTATCACTTCTCCTGTGTGTCCCATAGATGGGTAAAGCTACCAACATTGGCTGAAGACTTTGAGACTTTGATGTTCAAGGTTTGTTTTGCACATGCTTCCACAATCTTATGTAGTGCCTCCCCATACAGACCAACATGTGTCGACTTCCTTTGCAATCATGAAGATTGACGGCTCTATTTGGACACTTACGAATCTGAGCGCATACTTCAAAGGCTTGATTAATGGATTTGAGCCAAGAGCTTTGCAGTGAGAAGTGTATCACGATACCCCAGGCCTCCAGTCGTACCTTCTGAGAAGGTGGGACTGGGGTGGGTGCCAGGAGGGTCCAAATACCTTCTGAGCAGGTACGACTGGAGGTGTAGGGATATAATGATAGGTGAGAAGTATATCACTATATATATATATATACCAGTATCACTCACTCTTTTGTCAGACCATTTCATGCAAACATTGGAACGAACTGATGTGGAGCCCTCCAGTCACACTATGTTATGTTGGGAGCCAGAGTTTCGGAACGCACACCAATTCCCCACACCAGAGATTACAGCTCCAACAACACATCATGAAACTAAACAAAAACATGTACAATCAGGTGATTTTGGGGGGGTTCAAGGTGCTGATGTTTCCAAACCACTGCTCATTGGTCGCCCGCAACTCACTCCGCCTATTCAGACGCTCTATGGGCATCATGTGGTCATTGCCACTGGCGGCTTTGGACACGACATCAAGGCATGGGACGACCTACGACCGATCGACCTCGTTTGACCGGGGTGAGGGTCGACCGGTCGAGGTCGGGAGGAAGACACCTCAGCCAAGCACGAAAGTGCAGAGTTTGGTCGAAAGAGTGACGTACTATGTCACTATGTCTTAGTCTATGTCTTTTGTTCTTAGTTTTCCGCATTTTTCTGGAGGCAATCATGTCATTTGTGTGTGTTCGGTTCTTTGGAGGTTTTCGGGGCGTCTCCTCATGCACCCAAACCAAGCGAGAGCTCTGAAACATTTGGCCAGGAGATGGAAAGCCTGCTGCTCAAATATCGCCGCTTGGGCCAGAAATCACTGAACTGCCTCAAAAAACACAGAAAGAAGTGACACACCAATCAGGTAGGGGCACCATGGTGAGATAGACCAGTTCTTTGATGTCGAAGAAGAAGGATCTCAGCATGCGCAAAAGAAACCGGATTATACTGCCCAGCTGTGAGAAGTGATTGCCGTTGTTGCCTTGGCCCTTGGTCGCAAACAAACAAGCATCAAGAAGTCTGTTGACCTCAAAAAGGCGCATCCACCAACACCACCCATCAGACTATCACCGGGACATCAATGTTACCTTCCAAAAACCAACGGCTGACTAAGGGAATCCAAAATTCCCAAAATATGCCAAAATCATCTATCAAATGCAACACCTATACCTGGAGTCTCGAAGTACCTCAGAAAATGGGTGCAAGCACCTGCTTTTCTGACGTCATGTCCCATTTTCAGGTGCAAACTGGAGGATCTAGGTATAATATGGTGTAATCATTGTGGATCACCGTCCCCGAACCCCCACAAAGAAAATCACCACCACCGCCCACTCACTGACTTCAAGCTTTCTTCTCTCGCCGACGCGGCACCAGGTTCACACCTCTCCCCCCAGACCGCCACGCTGGCGCCAAACCACCGCCTTTCGCCACCAAAACCGCCCCACTCCCCTCGCCCCTCGCAAAACTGGCCTTGGGAGCAGTGCGCGAAGACGTGTTTGGGAGCAGAACTTCGGAGCACGAAGACGTTTTCCAGGTCCCGACTTGGCGGACTTTCCCACGACCTTGGGCTCGCAGACCACGGGAGATGGCGTGAAGCTGGCGCGCGACCTGGGCGCGCGCCTCGTGGCCGCTCGCATCGAGGAAGGCGAAGGAAGAGTGGGTGAAGGATTCCGGGTGGAAGAGTGGGTGGAACTGCCAGGGAAAACCAGCAAAGACCTGGTGTTCCCTTAAAAAAATGTTTTTTCATGTTTTTTCGTTCTGTGAAAACCTGAGGGCCACTGGTGGGGGAGGGTTCTGGTTGAAAAGAAAGCCTGGTCTCCTTCTTTGGGGCCTCACTGAGTCTAAAAAGAAGCTGAGTTTGCTTCGCGGGCTTGCGGGGAAAGGTGATCAACCTGCTGCAGGAGCACAAGAGAGAAATTCAGAAGTGAGTAGAATGGACGCCAACAAGTGATGTTAGAATCTGTAAGGGGCTTAGTTGATCTGGATGATGAAGAGGAGAACAAGCATCATAAAGGCATCCATGAGCATGGGCCAACACTCATGGCACCATTGAGATGCACTTGGATGATCTTGGATGTATTTGGTGTTTCTTGGTCAGTTTGCGCTTGTCTGGAGAAAGGATGCTTACCATTATTGAAAGCTTGGATCCTTGCCATGTGTTCCCGGAGCTTCAGAAGCCAATTCCCACTTCAGCGAAAGTGTTGACTCCCTCACAGCATCAACTACCTTTAGCTGGGATGTAGTTGCTTGTCAACAAAAGAAAACAAAACTCAACAGGCCAATGGCGGCCAATGGTTGGTCGTTCATGCCGTTCATTCGCCCATGTCCCATGCCTGACACAGACGTGCCTGTGGGGATGTTGGCTTCTGTGGGCCGGTGTTTTTTTTCACCGCAGCGGCCGAAACCTCCCAAGTAACAAACAGAAAGAGGTCAACAAGGTCAACAAAGGTGGAACAAGAAGCTACAAAGACCAAGCCCTAGGGATCCAAGTACCTTGTGAGAAGGTGTTTGGGGTGGGTGCCAGGAGGGTCCAGGTGCCTTCTGAGAAGGTACGACTGGATCCCTAGGGTAAGATTAATATAAGATGCCTTTGCGAAAGGAAAACAGATTCGGTTTTCCAAACATGCCAGACATTTGACACGCTCAATCTTCGAGCATCTCCATGGCCACTCATCTGCAAATCTCACTTGTCCTATACCAGGACCCTCCTGTTTGGGTGGTGATATCTAAATAGCCTCTTTCGAGACTTAGAGGTTAAGTTGTTGTTCTTTTCTATCCACCTGTGAAGCCAGGTCCTGGTAGGATGTCTTCTTTTCGGCGCCGGGACCCTTTTAAGGTGTCGTTTGTTCTCATGCGTGGCCGTTCCGAGGACATGGATCGTGTCCAGCTACATCCCACCGGCATCTTGACCACTTGTCCTGATGTTTCTGAAAACGGAAACCAAGATATGCCTGTGTAGCTCAAACAGGGAGACTTCCCAAATAACCCCCTCAAGAAGAGGGAAAATAGACCCAAACCTTCCAAAACCCACCACACCATTAGGGTTCAGTATGTTCACACATTCAAAGAGGCTTCAGTATGGTTCACCTGTTGAGCCACGTTGTGCTGTCTGGGTTGTTGAGAATCCTCCAGTACAGCACCTTGTTGCACCCGTGCTGTCTGGGGCTCTCACATTGACGGATGGTTTTCGGAGACCGTGATTGCCAACCCCCAAAGATCAATGCAGAAATATTCACATGTGCTTGGTGGTGCAGAATACAGAAATATATATGCATATTAAACATCCATGCTTTCATGCTGAAATGCCACATCAGGGCAATAGTTGGGAGCATCCACTGGCAAGCTGGCGGGGCTTCCAACATCTGGGGTCCCCGCATGGACCTTGGATCTTGCCCTCACGACGACCCGTCTGTGTGGGACGCCAAGGCTTCGTGGACATGAAGAAGCCAACAGAGTGGCTTGGCTGCATGAACCTTTGGAGCCGCTGCGGGCTGGGGGTTCCTCATCCCATGTGGCTTTTCCCTCACATCTCGCAGGGCGCTCCCTGGCGGATCGTGGTCGGGAACACGGTCATGGAGATGGGTTGGAGGCAGGATGCAAACCTCAGACATGGTCTACCAGGTTTTTTGGGGCTCTTGGGTTTTGCTTCACCCCCCGAGCTTGTTTTGCTGACGCGGGAGCCGGCGTTCGAACGGCCTCAGGAACACCAAGACGCTTTGTGCGGAGCTTCTGCGGGGCGTGGGTGGCCTTCTGCTGGACAGGCAGGGAGTGAAGTGCTATACAAGGCAAGCGCAGCGTCGGTGGCCATAGAGGCCAACATTGGAGCCCAACATACTCGCCTCATGCCTCGCTACCGAAGTGGCTCACTACCTGAGCGGCTCGCTACTTGTTGCTTTTATCTGCTTTTTTTACTTGCAGTGGCAACATCGTTGCCAGGATGTGTGGCTGTCTTGCAGCCCGGACCCGAAGAGACTATAGCCACATGACTTGTCATATGAATTGACCCAAAAACACCATGGCAAAGCACGTTTCCACTGCTGGTCACGCTCGACCGCCGCAGAGCTCGACCGCGGAGCGGCCTCGCGGAGCGGCGCGAGGCATGGGAATCGCTTTACCAACGAGCTGGGCACACGGCAGGCCTCCAACGTCCAAAGGGCGGACTCATGGACCGGGGGCGTGGAACCGTGTGACAAACCTCCGGTTACTCATTTTCACTCAGGCTGTATGTCTTGGAAGTTCCGTATTCGGAATTGTTAGAAGTATACATGTAGTATACGCTCCCACTAGCATGGTCACGAAGTGGGAGATGCTTCCAGGAATTGTTTCAGGAATAGTATATGCAGTATACATACACCAACACCGACACCATCACGAGCCCATTCACTTTCATGGTGATCAGTTAGTGACTGGTCAGATGGGTCACCTTGTCCCATCAGTCCCCCACCTCCTGGTCCATGGCCTGAGTCACAGGCCGTGGTGAATGCTGAGCTCAAGGCCGATGAGGTTGGAAAATGAAGACAAGACAACTGCTTCGTTACCTGATAGTAGAGCTGGGCTGATTTACTAACATACTTTGTCAGATACGCGGTAGAAAAATGATGAAAGAAGATGAAAGGAGCGTAAACATTGCCAGTTGCTCTATATAGAGATAGTCGATAGTTTTATTTTCTTACGAACACCAGAGGCATGAATGTGGTGATTTCAGTTGTGAGGATCGCGGAACCGCAGTGGATCAACAAGCAAGAAGGAACCCGTGCCTAGCACCTTTTTGGTCCTCCCAGTTGACTTGACTTAAAACCTACTCCCAACCAGCCAAGTCTATCACCATCATCCCAGCCAACCAGCCAAGTCTATCGCGCTGGCAGGCGGGCTTGTCCTTACCAGCTCCTTCACCACATCGGGTTGGAGAGCACAGCGGGCACTGGGAGTCGTGGACCAGAACTGGTTGAAACTCATGTGACAAACATATGACACGAAGAGACATGTATGTAAGAATGTTTGGTAACCCACCAACAATATCAAAAGGACCCTGCAAATGCAAACAAAACAAAGAGTTAGAGAGGCTTCTGCAAAAAAGTCCATCTAATCCTTTGGCCAAGGAACAAAAAACTGTCCAAAGCACCACGACCTTTTAGAACGACTTTTGAAAAACACCCAGTCCGAAGTCCAGTCACTGTTCTTGTACGGCCGATGACGTTGAATCAGAAGATTCTTTGGGGGACGCCTTTGAGGCCTTTGCTTTGGTACTGTCCGGGGACCCAGTGACGGTCAGAACAGTCCATGCTATCAATTGGAACCTGGAACGTGCCTGTCTCATGTGACTTCCTGCGTGGATCTATGGATGGTCCTCCAATTTTTGTTTGATTGGCTTGTGCATGCTTATGCTATCATGTGCTATCTACTTTACAGTAATTTGACCGTGCTGCAATGCAATGAACGAACGATTTTTCAATTGACAGACCCAATGGTGGACACATTTGCCCGTCATTTGCCCGCCAAGCATCTCTGGGCTAGAAGTTTGACCAATGGCCAATGGCTGATGCTGAGGAACAGCAAGGCTGCCAAGGTTGCAGACCGACATGTGACCCTCTACAGCAAGAAAGGGCCACTCGGATGCCCGCTGGAAGCTAGCTGACTCGCAAAAAAGACACCCTTCACATGTCGGGACAATGCGGGACTGGGATAGCTTTGACATGCTTTGACTATAACTGTACTGTAGTATACATACTCCTAGTGTTGCGTATAGCTTGAGTTTGCTTGAGTTGTTTTCTTTCCCAAGCTGGGTGAATCCCAAAGCTGGGGGCATACTGTATGTATCTCCGCTCCCGGAGTCGCACTCCTCCAGGTTGCTCCTCTGTGTTGAAACAGATCTTGTTGACTTATTTCGAGGCAAGAGAGTCGAGCGACTGGAGATGGTTGGGTCACTGAAGGACCAGAACTCGTCCCGTGCCAAGCTCGAAGCAGCCCAGATGGAAGAGATGTGAATGTATCCGGGAATTTCCTGGACAGAATGGGATGCTGGATGCTTAGGCTTTTGGAATCATTTGGTTGGGCGGTAGGAGTTTTGCGGGGTGGCCCCTCCTCCAACCCACACGCAAACCAGTTGGACAAGGTTTCAGAGCCTCGATCCAAACCAGTTTGGGGTGTCTCCCGGATCCAAAATGATAGGAATTAGTGAGCCGCCAGGCGATGATCATATATCATTATCATGTGTTTTCAGCAAACATTGACAGTTTGTTGGACTCCATCTCTTGATCACAGCGCCCTTACCACCCTTCCCCTTGCGTGGACCCAGTTCACTCCCATCCCAAAACCGCTCCCTCTTTCTGCTCTCTCTCCTCTCTCCTGCAGCGTCCTGCAGTGCCAAGGCTACTGACCAAGGTCGAAGGCATCGAAGGCCTTGCCCAACACTTCGGCTATGAGGCCCTCATAGACGCCCTGCTCGCCGCGGGAGCCGCACGAACCCCGCGCGCCGCAGGTGTTCGAACCCGCCCGTGAACCCACTGGACCTTCCACGGAACCTCCGATGTAAAAGTGCCAAAACGGGTGGATAAGTCAGTGAAGTGCAAGATCCTTGAGCTTCCGTTTGGTGGCCAATGCCTCTTGCTTGTACGTGAAATGGAGTGTGGAAGGAAGTAGATCAATGAGAGCGAAGGGTCTCGTACTGACGAAGGAAGAGTTATCCAGTACATCACATGAGCTGGGTCTTCCCCAGGTATGTTTCCAGTACC